GGACCCGGTGATCTGTCGTGTGTATTTCCCTACGTTGACTGGTCCTACGCAAAGGTGGTTCTTTTCTTTACCGCCGAGATTAGTCACAAGTTTCGAGGTTTTGGCTAATCGATTCCTGACGCACTATGCTGCAGCGGGCATGCAACCCAAAAAGTACTTTTCAGATCTGGCTTGGGTACGCCAGAATGAAGGAGAGAGCCTACGAAGTTATATAGTGCGGTAGCAGAAAGAGGTCCAAGCAGTCGAGGGATGGGATGACAAGACAGCCTTAACCCTTTTTATAGAGTTTTTGCGTGCTGACGGGCAATACAGTAAGCTTCGTGATGAAAATCCTCAAACTTATACACAAATGCAACTCCAGTTCGCCTAAGGGATAAGCCGCAGGTTATATATCCAAATGCAACTCCATACTGCCGGTATGATCGCACAAATACCCACAAAACGAAGGAGTGCGAATCACTCAAGAATGAGATCGAGACATTAATCCAGTCTGGTCAGCCGATGCCTCCCAACTAGTGGCGTCGACCAGGACTGCCTTAGCACTCTGACATTGCGCCTAGATCGGCTGGCAAGACAGTGAATAAGGGCAAGCAACCGGCACGGGAAGAGGAGAACGATCGGAACTAGAAGTACAAGCCAATCATTAATATGATTTAGGCTGCCCCGAGGGAGGGGATACGGTAGGCGCTCGGAAGGCCTATGCCAAGAAGTTATACATTGGGGTGATTGCCACTCAGAATTCCGACCGCAAGAAAGCCTGTCAAGAACCGATCATCTTCACTGACGACGATTTGCCTAGGGGCCCGACTCCTCTTCGCGATGCCTTGGTTATTGCCATGGACATACAAGGAACGGTAGTCAGACGGGTTCTGGTGAACACGGGAGGTAGTGTGAATGTGCTATATCTGGAAACTTCCTCTCTTGTGGTCGAGATGGGAACGTTGCCCTACGTGAGAAAGCTTGAGATGGAATTCGTGATAGTTAGTTTGGAATGTGCGCATAATGTGATCCTCAGTCGACCATACCTCGAGGACCTATGTGCCTTGGTCTCCATCGAGCGTTTATCTATGAATTTCCACACACCGGCTGGCGTTAAAGTAGTGCGTTGTGATCAAAAGATAACTAGAAATTTTTATCTGTAAGCTTGTCGCAAAATGGGAGAGAGGGATTTGTGAGTAAATACTATAGCTCACCAGTTGGATGAACGGCTCAACTAGCGCCCTATGCTAGAGGTTGAGCTGGAAGGGGTTGCTCTGGATCTTGACTGCCCTTAGAGAAAGGTGAGAATCGGGCTCGAGCTGACGGACGCGATCAAGTAGGCAGTCATTTAGGTGTTGAGGGACTACAAGGAAATCTTTGCGTGGGAACCTGAGGATATGTCAGGGGTAGACTAGGAAAACTTTGAATGGGATGAAGTGTACTGTTATAGAGTGATGCCCTTTTGTTTAAAAACTCGGGAGCCAACTATACACGCATGGTAGCCAGGCTATTCACGAGCCTGATAGAGAAGTCTATGGCCGCCTACGTGGATCACATTTTGGTCAAAAGCAAGGAGGGGGAGGACCATGTGAAAGACCTTGCTGACTGCTTTAGCATTATGAGAAGGTACAATTACTCTTAACCCTAAGAAGTGTGCCTTCATAGTTAGGGGAGTAAAGTTCTTGGGGTACATGGCGACCATGCGGGGAATCGAGCTCAACCCCGAAAAATTGAGGGCAATTTTAGACATGCAGCCACCCAAAAACCTCAAAGAGATGCAGCGGCTGATTGGATGACTGGTTGCACTTAGCCGATTTCTTTCTAAGTCCGCCGACCACACCCTACCCTTCTTGAGGCTATGAAGAAGCAGGAAGGTTTCTAGTGGACGGAGGAATGTTAGGTCGCCTTTGAAGATTTGAAGAAATACCTCTTGTCACCCCCGTTGTTGTCAAAACCCAAGGAGGAAGAGATCTTATTTTTATGCCTAACCGCCTCTCAAAAGGCTGTCAGGTCGGTCCTGGTCCGAGAGGAAGAAAAGACGCAACACCAGTCAACTATGTAGGTCGAACGCTGAAGGCAACAGAAATAAGATATTTTCCACACGAAAAAGTGATATATGCATTGGTCATAAATGTGAGCAAGTTGGTCCCCTATGAGGTCACACACGCTGACCGCCCATGAGATCACCCACGTGCCCAAGCGGGGAATGCCGAGGCCAATATATTATCTAAGTTGGCATTAGGTGGTCTTCCTAATAACCATCTCTCACTAGCCTACCGAACGGAGACAGTAGAAAGGCCTAGTACCGAGGCGTTGCTTGTCTGCCAGACTACTACGGCACCCGAGGTATACCCCAACCCAGTTACGCAGCCCGAATGGTTCTGGATCGCAGACATCATAAGGTACAAAGATAAGCGCGAGCTCCCTAGTGATGCCAAGGCCGTTATAAAGGAAACCTATCGAGGAATCTACGCAGCCCATCAAGGCGTTAACATTTTCGTTATGAAGCTAGTAATTTAAGGCTACTATTGGCTGACCATGGTGAAAAACTGCATAGAGGAAGTCATAAAGTGCCCAACCTGCCAGTATTTCACTAAGAAGGACACTCGAGCAGCTACTTTCTATACGCCGGTCACTACCGTGATTCCCTTTGCGAAATGGGAGTAGATCTGCTTGGACCATTGCCTCAAGTGCTCGGTCGGTATCGGTTTTGCATCGTCGCTGTTGACTATTTCACTAAGTGGGCAGAAGTCGAGCCCCTGGTAACCATCATTGACTACTAGTGTCCTCAATTTCTTTGGAAGAATGTTATTTGCAGATCAGGCAGCCGGTTACTGACAATGGTAACCGGATACCCAATCAGGATTATGCCTTGGCGGTCAGGGCTCACAGTTTGACTATGTCTAAGGAGGACGGGTGGAGTCTAGTAGTCGGGTCAAAAAGTGAAATGTGAAAAATTTCCCATGCATTGACAATAATAGGATGATTTTGAAAGGTGGACAAAAGTAGGAAAAGATACTTTGGGACGTGCGTTTGGGGTCAGAAACGCATGTTCCAAATGCGTTTGAATATTTTTTTTCGAAATGTTAACCACAGACTCCCACTTACGTTTCATGTACATAATACATGAAATGCAAGTGGGACTTGCGTATGGGCCCGATGTACGCATTGCTTCCTTTGTTCTTCCTTCCTTGGCTTCCAGCTTATACTCGTGGCACTTCAAGACTGCATCCAATGCTTCTTTGCATTTCTTGTTTCCGGAATGAGGATTCGCGAGGCTTAGGCTTGCGATTTAAGTGTCGTTTGTGGCGAAGAACAAAGGAATCAAGTTCTTATTCGGTACGAAGAATCTTACTTCCTCCACGATTGTATGGTTAAAGAGGTTGTGATTGGTGACGACAACAATGCCGAACGTGACTGAACAAATAACGCAATCGACAATTTCGTGGCTCTGGTTATCGACATACTTTGCCCGGTCTGCTACAAAAGCTGCAATTCCTTGAAGCTAAAGCTTCGATTTAAGCCATTTACAGAACTGCCCCAAATTCGGGTTCTGCCCGTGGTATCTTATGTACACATCGCAACTCCAGCATTGGACGCTGGTGAGATGGAGCCTTTTGGCAAAGGAAATCTGGGGGATAGGAAACGAGAAAGAAATATGAGGATCAGTGTCGGGTCCCGACACCTGGATGCACGCCACAATATTGAGCATTGGGTCGCCAGGTTTGTCAGAAAAATCGTATCTCCATCTATTGAGGCAAGAAACTGCTGGAATCTGAGCCGGAAAGCAAGCTTTCTTCTCTGAAGGTGCCGCCAAGGTCGTCTGCGTACATCGGGCCCATATGCAAGTCCCATTTGCATTTCATGGATTATGTACATGAAACGCAAGTGGGACTTGTGTCTGTGGTCAACATTTTGAGTGTTTTTTTTCAAATGCATCTGGGACATGCATTTCTTACCCCAAACGCATGTCCCAAAGTATCTTTTCCTACTTTTGTTCACCTTTCAAAATCATCATATTATTATCAATGCATGGGAAATTTGTCACATTTCAGTCTTTGATCCCCAGTAGCTTGGCCTCTGGTCAGGGCAACCGGCCCATTCATTCGGTTCCGTTAGATGACCGGTGAAGGCAGTAAGTTAAGGGTCCCAACCGGGTGTCGTACTTAGAGGAAGTGGAATACATATTTTCAAATATCTTTTTCAAATTTGGCGCCGGAATTCCTTTCCTTGTATTAGGAAAGGATTATGGCAGTTTATAAGCTTTCCTAGTTCTAAATTTGTTAATTTCTTCTTTCTTTCCTTTCCAAAGCATGTAAATCTTCTATAAATACTCCATGAAGACACATTGTAAAGGGTTCTAAATTCAATACAAGCCCAATTACTTTGTTCACTTATTCTCTTAGTTTTTCTTTTTTCTTTATTATTTTGCAGTTGTGTTGGTCCGACGCATAGTTATCTTGTAGCCGTAAAACCAACACATGGCAAATTATGTTGTGCAACCGTGTGCACCATGCATGGTGCACACTGTTCTATGTTCATAATTACTGAACTATATGTTCATAATTATTAAGCTATATATTCATAATTTTTGAACTTCATATTCATAATTATTGAACTCTATATTCACAATTACAGAACTCTATGTTCATAATTTTCGATGTTCATATTCCCAATTGTTGAACTATGTATTCACAAATCACAGAACTATATGTTCATAATTTGATAACTATACAGTTTAGAAATTATGAATCTACAGTACAGAAATTATGAATCTACAGTACAGATATTATAAATCTACTGTATAGAAATTATGAATCTACTTTATTTAAATTATGAATCTACGATTTAGAAATTATGAATTATAGTATAAAAATTATGAATTGAAACCGTGTGCACCTTGCATGGTTCACACGGTTGCACAGGATAACGATACCCAACACATCCAATTGGCTAGCTAGTTCATTACTTCATTATATATTAATCCTTGAACACCACATAACATTTACCAACCAAACCATTTCCCTGGCCATCACATACAATATCCATGGCTAAAATGAGCATTAATATTCTCATTACAATCTATGTTCAGTTCTTGATTTTCACGGTAGGTTCATCTCTACCGGAAGATCCCATCAAATGCACCATTAACAACACCATGAACTGCACAATCACCAACTCCTACGGGACCTTCCCGGACCGCGGGGTTTGCCGCGCCGCCAAGGCCGTGTACCCGAAGACCGAGGCGGAACTGTTGTCCATAATAGCCGGCGCGACCAAGCAGAAACGGAAAATGAAAGCTGCGACTCGATACTCGCACAGTATCCCCAAGCTGGCGTGCCCGGAGGGGGACGACGGTCTGCTCATAAGCACCAAGTATCTTAACCGGACGTTGGAGGTGAACGCTTCCAGCATGACAATGACGGTGGAGAGCGGAGTGAGTCTCCGGCAGGTGATCGAGGAGGCGGCTAAAGCGGGGCTGGCGCTGCCTTACTCGCCGTACTGGTGGGGGTTGACGGTAGGTGGGCTTATGGGTACGGGGTCGCATGGGAGCAGTTTGTGGGGAGTTGGGAGCTCCGTGCATGATCATGTGATTCACATCCGGATTGTCACGCCGGCCACCGAGAAAGAGGGATACGCCACCATTCGAACACTCAAACAGGGAAACTCCGACATTAAAGCAGCCAGGGTTTCTCTTGGAGTCCTTGGAGTTATTTCGCAGGTACTATATATCCCTCAGCTCCCTCCTATTCGTTCAACATACATGACCATGTAATGTTAGGAATGAATTGAACATGTTTTGAAGGTTACTTTCAAACTACAACCAATGTTCAAACGGTCCATATCCTTTGTGGTGAAGAATGATCGAGACTTGGGAAAAGAAGCAACTAAATTTGGATTCCAACACGAATTTGCAGATATGAAATGGCTTCCCAGGGACCGCCATGTTGTGTATCGTGTTGATGACCGCGTCTCTACCAACACCTCAGGCAACGGCCTTTTTGATTTCTTTGGGCTTCGAGCCGTTGGAACGGACTGCCTGAATGCTTTAAGGGAGAAAGGTTAGCTTTAAACCCACACCCTACATGCACACTTCTTAATTTGTATGTAAATTTTGCATTTTAGATCCGAGTTTACCTTAAGGTGGACCCGGGTCTTCAGAATAATTTGTCATAGTGTTTAATTTGCCATAAACATATTCTATATATGGTACAACTTTAATTTTAAAGCACAATGTACAAAATGATTATCATTAAAAACATGGACATAAATGAGATATATACACGCAATTTTGTGGATGGATTAATTCTAAATTTAATGAATTACTGTTTGTTTTGTTTGAAGTTAGGTATGGTAAGATGACAGACCATACACCTACACATACACTCTTACTTGTATTCCCTTATATTCTTAATCAGAGGAACATCAGGAATCAATTGGTGATGCCGATGAGAAATGTAGTAATCAATGGTTGATAAATGTTTGGATGGTGTGGTTTTTATCATATGGACTCACAAACGACGGTAATTCTTACGTCTTTCAATATAAAATATTTTAGTTTTCATTTCTTAAATTGTGTTACTATACGTGCAAGAGTATAATAAGGATTTATATATTAAAATTAGGTGTTAAATTTAGTGGTTACCCGGTTATCGGATACCAAAACCACATGCAATCGTCTGGTACTTGCTTGGACAGCCTCAATGATAATCTAACCTGCCCATGGGACCCTCGAGTGAATGGATTGTTTTTTCACCAAACAACATTTAGCATCAGCCTAACCAAGGTGAAGAGTTTCATAGAAGATGTGCAAAAGCTGGTGGATTTGGAACCCAAATCCCTCTGCGTTCTAGGCCTCTACGATGGCATCCTCATGAGATACGTCAAAGCCTCCACAGCCTACTTAGGGAAACAAGAAGACTCCATAGACTTTGACATCACTTACTACCGAAGCAAGGACCCTATGGTTCCCAGGCTCTACGAAGACATTCTTGAAGAGATAGAGCAGATGGCAATGTTCAAATATGGGGCGTTGCCGCACTGGGGAAAGAACAGAAATGTGGCCTTTCAAGGGGCAATCCGCAAGTATAAAAGCGCCGGGGAGTTTTTGAAGGTTAAGAAAAAGTTTGATCCTTTGGGGTTGTTTTCTAGTGAATGGAGTGACCAAATTCTGGGCCTCAAAACGGGGCTTAGCATTGTCAAGGATGGGTGTGCCTTGGAAGGCTTGTGCATTTGCTCACAAGATAATCATTGTGCTCCAAACAAAGGCTATTTTTGTAGAGCAGGAAAAGTTTACAAGGATGCAAAGGTCTGTGTGAAGATTAATTAGCAACAACTAGGATAGATCTCCTTTTAGAGAGTTTATGGTTTATTTTAAGCTATTGATAAACTATAAGTTATATTTGGTAATGTTTTAAAAATAAGTTAGTAGATTAAAATAATAGCTTATTAAAAAAATGCAACTTAGGTTGTGTTTTAAAAATGAGCTAGTAGCTTTTAAACTTTTTTTTCAATCTTTATCTTTATTATTTTAAATAAATGGCATCCTTTACTCCTCTCAATTAAAACTCTTTTGGCTTTTTCCCTTCTCCTATTTTTTTTATTCATCCTCATTCCGCAACTCCTTCATTGCCGGGCATCCTCCTTCATTTTCATTCAAACAATTCTTCAGCAACCGTGTAATCATTGGTATGGTTTTTCTTTATATTTTAATTTATGTGTTGTTGGTATATATGTTCTTTGGGCGCGTTTGTATGTGAGACAAAAATTTGTCTGTGATTTTTTCTTTTACTTTGTATGTTAGTTGTAAGGTAGTGAGTTTTTTATTTTACTTTGTATGTTAGTTGTAGGGTAGTGAAAATATTTCTGTGTATTATGTTAAGTGATTTTGTTTTCAAATGTTGTGTCTTGCACTCTTACCCGTTCCTATTTATAATTAGGCCATTGCTGGTTGCTTTTTTTACTCTTTTTTTTTTTTGTTTAAAAATGTATTTTTTTTTTACTTGAATTGGTTGAATTGATTCATATGTCATATTTTTGCAAAACTTTAAAATAGAATGAAACTGTGAAGCAAGTAAAGTTAGGTGTTACTTGTTAGTGAACTAGTAAAGTGTATGTATGTAGAGCCTGCTGAGCATCAATTCTTGAACAAAGGCTTCCATTTTGATAATTGAATACCCTTTTCACTTCTGCTTTGTTGTGTATGGTTTTCTTGTTAGTTTAGGTTGACGAATCATATTCTTTATATATACAAAAAAAAAAAAAAAAAAAAATTTACTTTAATTTTCAGAGATGGTTGTGTCTATTCTGATTGTTTTCGAAATGACTATACACATAGACACAAACTTTATTCCTTGTACAAACAACTATCCAATTAAACATGCAATTACCCACGGTTTAACTAAATATTTCAGTAATTACTTTATTTCATAGAATTTATAGTCTTTGTCGTGATAAAAGATTACGCAAAAAATAAAAAAAAAAATCCAATTATATTATTATACTAGTTTTTCATGCGCATTGCGCGAATGTGGTAATCCCCAATGATTATTTTTAAATAAGTACTTCAAAGTATATCGATGCAAGACTATATAGAATATGTTCATGCATAGGTAATTGAATGTTGAATTTGTTTATTTAAATCAGTAATTCAAATCAAAGTATATGAATACAATATAATATAGGAGAGATTGGTTATAATCGTTATTAAATTAAATGTTTGCAACTTTGTAATAACGCTAGTAAAGAATTAGTCTAAATAAATACTACTTTTGGTTTGAATTTCGGTCTTCTTAATTCTCTTTTGGGTAGTATTGTCTTTGTCTTCATCTTCAGTACTTGTCCTCATTCTTTTTATTGGTAGTGTGTCATGTGCAATTGGATTATTACTGGCGATAGCATAAAGGGCAGCGTCATGCAATGAGATAATGGTGTATAAAGTTTTAGATTTGCCTTGTGTATATGACTGAGATCTTATTTATATTATGAACTCTTTATCTTGCAAGTGTCTGTTGATATTTGGCAGTGGTAGTTTTTTCCCCAACATGTTTCATGTATAGTGAGATGTGTGTCATAGATTCTCATGTAAAATTATTGAACAAAATATTAAAATTTATTATATTTGTAGAAGGTTCATGAGTAGTACATCTTGTTCTAATTCCATAACTTGTTTACATGATAGTAACAACAATGACTCTACAAGTAGTAGTCTGAATACTAAGTGTTTGTGTCGTCAAAGTTGATACTCATTTTGTCTTTAATCCAAATAGGTTGAGTCTAAAATATAAAATGAAATGTAAATTTATATTAGTTCTAATATATTTAAAGGATGCACAATAAGTATTTTAAATACAAGATCAATGAATGTTGAAACGGTGGTTATTTTTGAAAATTTTTTATTTTCTGGATTTGCAAGATTGATTGCAGCATTGTTGTAGTCTCAGCATCTTTTTGATGCGTCAAGTGTGTCACGATGTTCTATTGCCCTACATAGGCATTTTTGATAATGAGTTTTAAATGTAGCTACGTAAAATAATGATCTAATTACTATTTACATATTATTATCAGCATAAAATCATACAGGTCATTTAGGTGTTATGCTCGAGTTACTTTTGGTTCAACCATTATTGTTGAATAAGCTATTGTGGATAGAGAAATTCCTAGCTTATTTAAGAAATAAAATTAGATAAGGTAGTAAAAATTAATACATCTTAAATCATCTTAATGAAGAAATATGATTTACCTTTAAAGTGAACAACTGTGAGGTAATCTAGAGATATTATGGGGTAATTTCCGGCTTCAATTTCTTGGATTATTTGAATACTCTCTTTGTCAACAAATCCTCCCCAAGCAGTTAATATGATTCACTTCAAACTGTTTTTTTTTTTTCATGGTATTAATAAAATACTTGGTAAATAAATATATAGGCCCTGTTTGGTAAAATAGTTAGCTTATCCGTCAATTTTGACTAATTTGACCACTATTAATTGTATGACTTGGTTAAAAAATCAATATAAGTGTTTGGTTAATTAGCTTTTTATAACTCCAAAATGCTAAAATTAAAAAAGTTGATCAAAGCAACTTTTTCAATTAGTTTTTTTAGAAAAGAAATTATATCAAACATCTATCAGCTAACAGCTAATTTGCCAAACATCTTTCTACAATCAGCTAATGTTATAAACTAGTTATGCTCTCTAATTAACTCAATCGGCTAACAGCTAACGACCATTTACAACTTTGATATTTAATTACAAGATAGTGTAAAAAGAAGACAATGGACAATGTAGTGAATATAATTAATTAATGAATTTGAAGGTAATGAATCTTTGCATTGTAGAAAATAAAGATAATATAACTAATGAAATTATATCTCTTTTTTAATTTTTTTTATAATGAATATTTTTTTTTAAATAAAGGCATTATAGACATCTAATTCTAGATTAAAAAATGCATATGCATTATTTTTATTGTAGCTACTAATTTATTTAATTTAATAATAGTAATAAAGTGTGGTACTTACTTTTATTTCCATTCATTGTTGAGACAAATTATTTTGGAAATTTGTCAATAACAATTGCTACAATTGTTGTCAATAAAGATTGATAATAAATAATTCGAAATATATAGTTACAATAAATATTGTTATAAAGATATAGTAAAATTTAATTTACAAATTTCTTTAGAAGTTTTCATGCATTGATAAAATTTTGAGAGTGATGTGTAAACTTGTTCAATTGGAGCCAGTAGGATGTCAACATTGTTAATTATTTGGACGATGGTCCTACCGTTTAGAGTCCAAGTGTAGTTGAATTTCTGATCAACAACTTTGTAGTTAGGTCGCAGGCAGGCATGACAATGATGCAAGAACAATTTTGTTCGATAAAAAATAATAGTATAATATTTGTAAAGTAATGTACAATTGTATCATAATTATAGAAATACAGGCAAAAAAATATTTGTAGTATATGTTTAACAATTATGCGAACTGTGAATGAGATGAGATTCGATCATAAGACCTTTCTTATAGAAATCAATGAGTAAATTAAGAATAATAAATAGTTAACGGAATATTCCGTTATTAAAGTTTATACTAACGGAATGCGGGGTTATTTAAGGGAAGAAAATAATATAATAGACGGTAAAAAGGGAAAATCATTATAAAAAAATAGTAAAATCAAAATAATCTGAATGATTCATTTCATCAAATAACTTAAAGAACATTTTTTAGTTCTCGTTATAGGCCTAAGTGCCTAATTTTATTGGCTCTTATTAGTATATACTAGCATTTTGTACGCGCGATGCGCAAAAATTTATCCCTAATATTAAAACATTGATAAATATAAATAATTAAAAATTATAATTTGAATTACACACACACACACACACACACACATATATATATATATATATATATACACACACACACACATAAATAATATATGTATTTTGTACACACACATATATAATTTATCATTCATAAAAAATTAATTAAAATATAATTAAGCATTAAATTAATATATAATGATTTTAATAAAATGATAATTAAAAAATAAGGGGATAGATATATGTGTATGATAATAATGATGTGTAATCAATGTTAGAATTAAATACTAACGGTGTTATAATGGTGTAAGGGTAGTTTTGTCTAATAACATTGAAATGTACAACATTTAAAGTAAAAAGTTCACATTTATTTGCATACAAAAAGATGGACATAAATCAAGAATATAACCTTAATTGAAGCTTATTATGTTTTTAGATATAGTATAGTAGATAGATAGTAGATAGTAGATATATAGATAGATTTAATATAAATGAGGACAAAATTTTAAGTTAGAATTTAATCAAATTACCTAGAAGAACAAATTGGGATGAATGGAGAACCAAATGACTTTTAGACAATTGTGAGGGCGTATTATATTATTTTATAGACTCATGTTTTCTGAAAAATAATTTTTAAAGTGTATTCAATCAAAACATTTATAGATTTCAAAGATTTTTAAAGCAATGGATTTTAAATAAGATAGATATAATTTTCTAAACTTTAAACCTTTAACAGGGCGTTTGGTTGGAGGGATTTTAAATTCTCTTCCCACTTAATTCCCACCTAATTCCAAAGACCATTAACTTCCGTAGTTTGGTTGGAGGGAATTGCAATTCCATGGAATTGTAATACCCCCATTTTCATGGAATTAAAATCCCATGTCCCCCCCTGGTATTTTAATTCCTGGGAAAAAAAGATAGTGATGAGTCAAAATTACCCCTTTCTTTTTTTTTTTAATTTAAAATTAATGTCTAACAACAATAATGGACATTTTTGACTTTATACTACTTATTCCCTTTCAATTCCCATGTATACCAAACATTGGAATTAAATTCCCAGTAATTCTATTCCTGTCAACCAAACACTGGAATTTAAATTCTCATTTTATTCCCAGTAATTCAACTC